GAAATATTACCCTGTATCTCTCATACAATAAAGATATTACCCTGTATCTCTCATACCATAGAAATATTACCCTGTATCTCTCATACAATAGAAATACCGTCCTGTATCTCTCACACGATAGAAATATTGCCCTGTATCTCTCATACAATAGAAATATTGCACTGTATCTCTCATAGATTAGAAATACTGCCCTGTACATCTCTCATACGATAGAAATACCGCCCTCTATCTCTCATACAATAGAAATACTGCCCTGTATCTCTCATACAATAGAGATAATACCCTGTATCTCATACAATAGGAATATTACCCTGTATCTCTCTTACAATAGGAATATTACCCTGTATCTCTCATACAATAGAAATATTACCCTGTATCTCTCATACAATAGAAATATTTCCCTATATCTCTCATACAATAAAGATATTACCCTGTATCTCTCATACAGTAGAAACATTGCCCTGTATCTCTCATACAATAGAAATATTAGCCTGTATCTCTCATACAATAAAGATATTACCCTGTTTCTCTCATACAATAGAGATATTACCCTGTATCTATCATACAATAGAAATACCGCCCTGTATCTCTCATACAATAGAGATATTACCCTGTATCTCTCATAAAATAGAGATATTACCCTGTATCTCTCATACAATAGAGATATAACCCTGTAACTCTCATACAAAAGAAATACCGCCCTGTATCTCTCATACAATAGAAATATTGCCCTGTATCTCTCATACAATAGAAATATTGCCCTGTGTCTCTCATACAATAGAGATAATACCCTGTATCTCTCATACAATAGAAATATAACCCTGTATCTCTCATACAATAGAAGTATCCCCCTGTATCTCTCATACAATAGAAATACCGCCCTGTATCTCTCATACAATAGAGATATTACCCTGTATCTCTCATACAATAGAAATATAACCCTGTATCTCTCATACAATAGAAGTATCCCCCTGTACCTCTCATACAATAGAAATATTATCCTGTATCTTTAATACAATGGAAATACCACCCTGTATCTCTCATACGATAGAAATACCGCTCTGTATCTCTCATACAATAGAAATATCGTACTGAATCTCTAATACAATTGGGATATCCCCTTTATCTCTCATTAAAAAGAAATACCGCCTTGTATGTCTTGTACAATATAGAATTATTGCCCTGTATCTCTCCTAACATAGAATTACCGCATTGTATCTCTCATACAATGGGAATATCGCCCTGTATCTCTCATACAATAGAAATATTGCCCAGTATTTCTCATTCAAAATAAATAGCTCCCTATATCGCTCATACAATAGAAATATCGCCCTGAATCTCTATTACAATGGGATATACTCTTTATCTCTCATTCAATAAAAATACCTCCCTGTATATCTCTCTCGTATAATAAAAATACTGCCCTGTATCTCTCATACAATAGAAATATTGCCTTGTATCTTTCATACAACAGAAATACCGCCCTGTACCTCTCATACAATAGAAATTCCGCCCTGTATATATCTCTCATGTAATAAAAATACTGCCCTGTATCTCCCATACAATAGAAAAAATGCCCTGTATCTCTCCTACAATAGAAGTACCTCCTGTATCTCTCATACAATAGAGATATAATCCTCTATCTCTCATACAATAGAAATATTGCCCTGTATATATCTCTTGTATAATAAAACTACTGCCCTGTATCTCCAATACAATAGAAATATTGCCCTGTATCTCTCATACAATACAGATATTACCCTGTATCTCTCATACAATAGAAATATTGACCTGTATATATCTCTTGTATAATAAAAAAAACTGCCCTGTATCTCTCATACAATAGAAATAGCGCCCTGTATCTCTCATACAATAGAAATATTGCCCTGTATTTCTCATACAATAGAGATATTACCCTGTATCTCTCATACAATAGAAATATTACCCTGTATCTCTCATATAATAGAACTATTGCCCTGTATCTCTCATACGATAGAGATATTACCCTGTATCTCTCATACAATAGAGATATTACGCTGTATCTCTCACACAATAGAAGAATCCCCCTGTATCTCTCATACAATCGAAATACCGCCCTGTATATCTCATACGAGAGAAATATTGCCCTGTATCTCTCATACAATAGAGATTTTACCTTGTATCTCTCATACAATAGAAATATTGCCCTGTATCTCTCATACGATAGATATATTGCCCTATATCTCTCATACAATAGAGATATTACCCTGTATCTCTCATACAATAGAAATACCGCCCTGTATCTCTCATTCGATAGAAATATTGCCCTGTATCTCTCATACAATAGAAATACCGCCCTGTATCTCTCATACAATAGAAATACTGTCCTGTATCTCTCATACAATGGAAATACCGCCCTGTATCTCTCATACGATAGAAATATTGCCTTGTATCTCTCAAACAATAGAAATACTGTCCTGTATCTCCCATACAATAGAAATACTGTCCTGTATCTCCCATACAATAGAAATACTGTCCTGTATCTCTCATACAATGGAAATACCGCGCTGTATCTCTTATACGATAGAAATATTGCCTTGTTTCTCTCATACAATAGAGATATTATTCTGTATCTCTCATACAATAGAAATATCCTCTTGTATCTTTCATACAATAGAAATACCGCCCTGTATCTCTCATACAAAAGAAACATCGCCCTGTAACTCTCATACAATAGAAGTATCCCCCTGTATCTCTCATACAATAGATATAGTGCCCTGTATCTCTCATACAATAGAGATAATGTCCTCTATCTCTCATACAATAGAAATATTGCCTTGTATCTCTCATACAATAGAAATATTGTCTTGTTTCTCTCATACAATAGAGATATTATTCTGTATCTCTCATACAATAGAAATATTGCCCTGTATCTCTCATACAATAGAAATATTGTCTTTTATCTCTCATACAATATAAAAGCCGCCCTGTATCTCCCATGCAATAGAAATATTGTCCTGTATCTCTCATACATTAGGGATACCTGAAATAATCATCCCCATATGCAATATTTAACATGCATGATTTTAGGCATATTTGATCAATATAACTTAAATTTTAATTTAGATTTATTTAAATTAATGCATATGTCATAAAATTCTCACACGTTTGGTCGTTTAAAGACATATTTACTTGAGAACCGATCTACTCTAACAGCTTTAATTTATCTTGATCATTCTTTAGCTACATGTATACATGCAGTAGTTTACATGCAGAATGACATGGTCGCGTTCTCATGAAAAGCTTGGGTATTTTCTGAACCAAGTGCAGTGTTTTGTAGCCCTGGGTGCACAACCAAGGTGACCAAATTCCATATTTCAGAACCTTTTGCACATCAAAAGGACTTGCATTCAAAACATATGCACAAAGAATCCATTGGCTACCTCTCAACTCCATACATGAGATGAGAAGCAATGACAAGACAGTATAGGATGAACAGTATTTCAGCGAGACAAGGTAGTTTTCCTATAGATCTAATTCCTCTTTTAACTGAATTTTCGTCCCACATTTGAAAGAGGCAGTTACATCATAGTAAAAAAAGCTACATGTATTCATAGTTATGCCACTGCATGAGAATTTTACCAGAAATGAGTCTTTTTTCGCAAATGCATATTCACGGGAGTTTGGTAGCCATCAATTTTATATTTTCATTAAAATCCTTATTTCCATTATGGACTTGACCTTTCCCCCTCCCCCACCCCAGCAAAACAAAACAAGATTTAAACCTTTATTGAAAGCATCCACTGAAAATATCAATAAAATATTAATTCCTCTCAAAAGCGTGCAAGTTCTTTATATTACCACGCATGTACATTCCTTATGATCCACAAGAGTACTGTGGGACAAAAGAATACCGGAAAAGAAAGATTCCACCCTCTATTACAGGGTTAAATATTTTTTCCCGGTATTTTAATTTTTTTTTTTTTTTTTTTTTTTTTGCACAATAAAAACTTCCGAGTCCTGTGCTACGAACGATAACTCCTACAAATTGATCATCGTGTAATGTACAGAAAAACATGTATAGTAAGTATCAGCGATATAATTTGTCCCATATGAGCCCTTCCACTTCATTTTTTGAAGATAAATGCACATCTTGACTTTCGTTGAAAAAAATTCTTAGTTGTAGATCTGTAGTTCGTTCACTGACAGGTCTGCAAAAATCGGGACGGACGACCAGACCAGCGAGCTACTGTTCCGCAGCTAAAATATCCGTAAGTGTGGAATTTTTTTTTTAATCTAAGAGAAATATTAAAACGCGTCAAGCGCATGTGCCCATGGCCACAAACCTTGCTATCCGGATGTGCCACAATCACAAAACTAGAGGCACAACGCGCGACCTCAAAAATTAAACCTCTGTTGACACAAGGTTAAATCTTTGAGAGTCAACTTATTAACCTCCCTTACAAAGATATGGGCTGAATATTCTTTTAACATTTCCTTTCTGCCAAAGACTCTACCATGGCTAAATGACCTTGTCTCAAATCAGCTTATAATGTGAGCATCTTTTTCACCCTTTGGCTTCCATATTTTTTGTTAAAAGAAATGGCCCTGGAAGAAATTATAGATGTTTCTCACAGGCAACAGTGACTTTGGTCGAGTATAAATGACCGTGGGTCAAGGCCATGCCAAACTATTTATATCTTATAAGTAATATTTGTGTGAAGAAGTAGCTTCATATGATTCTCCATCAGAAAGTAGCTGACAAGACATTTCTGTGAATGACCTTGAAATTCCCCAAACTACCTTTAGTCAAGGTAAAGACACATCTTTCCCTTTGTTAAGTACATGTATGTGCTTCTAATGGTTCTGTATTACAGTTATGATCACACGATAGCAATGACAGACAGACTGATGGGTAAAGTAATTCCTATATAATATCACCCCCAAAAAAATTTATACGTGGGGGTACCCCCCTTGCCACAATCACCTCTCATCCTACATCCTGGAAATAAAGGAACAAATTGTAGACGAACTGTATTTATTTATGTGTAGTACTTGTCTATTCACAAATGATAAATATATAAAACAGAATCTGTATAGAAGAAAAGCTCTTAAGACAAGTCAATATTATTATGACTGTTAAATTTCATACGCTGGATTTTCGGTGAAAAAAAATCAGGGCTATATGAATAAATATCGACTGTAGTTGTATACATTTCAGTGGAGCCCGGAGATATGTTGATGACAAGAGCTTTAGAAGCAATATACCATGGAACAACTCGCAAAATGTACAGACTCGCTCCAAACTCATCCACAACACCACACGCTAACGAGAAAACTCGGACCTAATAAGAAAACTCAAGACCTGGGTCTGACCTGTATGTCTAGTGCTGGAATGTTGATACTTGAATTCCCCAGAAAAATCAAAACTTTGTCAATTAAAAAAAAAACATCATTAAAGCTATTATTGGACATTAAACAAAAAAATGTATGTTACGGATAATAAGCCTATAATATCCTGCCCCAGGTATGATAGCCCCTTTTTTAAAACACTTGTTATTTGGTGGAGAAATAAACATTGTCTATAATCTGAACAGTCTGGGACTAGACAAGAAAACATCAAGAAAACTGATGAGTGGAAAAAAAATCTCGGACTACCCTACATACGAGGAAATGAACATATCGCCCTCATATAAAAAAGGCAATTTAAAAAAATAATAATCGCATGTTAACTATGTTAAGTAAAAACACTGATGCTTGACAAGTAACTTACACTATATTCCAATTAGCGCATTGAAAAAGAGAAAGAAATGACATTGATGCACATACAGCCACAAGTATAAATTCAGAGGACACAAGGCCTATAGAGCCAGATACAAATTTGAAGAATCAGTTTTCTAACATCTTCATTTTTTCATCACCCACACATTAAAAAAAAACAAAAAAAAAACATACTAAACAGTGCAGAAAAATATTATATTACCACCTCAATGTCAGGAAGGTGTCTTAGACATGTTCTGCCCACAGATAATGGAGAATTAAAACATGTAATTATCTCAGTCTGGATTTGTTTGTCCCTAAAGTAAACACTAAAACAAGGCATGAATTCCTTGTCACAATAAATAGCTCCCCATGACTGTAGGCCTTTCTTCACCTTCCCCGTAATATATTTTTAAATCCTCCTTTCTTTCTGTTCACTAGATGGCGCTGGTGTGCTACTGTTTACTGTTCTTCAGTGTGTTCGATAGCCAATCTAGCCCCTCGTACAATCCGTCCCCGCTGGTGGCGCATGTTGCCTGGATGTACCATGATCGGTTTCGCAGGCTGTGGAGTCCCAATTTATCTGTCACTTCAGCGGCGTTCATGGCATTTGGCAGATCCTGTTCATTGTTAATTGATTAAATGATCATTAGAAACAAGTACTAAGACTAGCTTTATGTGTTAAAGGCAAACTCAGACTTGCACAAATCTAAACTTTCTGAAAAGATCTTAAATTACAAAAAAAAAAATTTTTTTCTACCTTTATGACTCTGCAGTCTTCTTTAAAAGCTATATTTTTACCGAGAGCAAATTTGCAGAGTTATAAAATTCAGCAAATTTAGCCAAAAAAAAAGAAGAAGGCCATTCATCACAACTACAGTCAAACCCTTTATTTTGAACTTGATGAGACCGAGAAAAAAAGGATCTGAGATATCAAAGGTAAAATCCTTAAAGAATAAGGAGTTGGGACTTCCAAATCAGTTTGACATATCCATGGTGCTTAAGATATCTGTGTTCAAAATACTGAAGTTCAACAGAAGATTGACTGAAATATGTAGAAATCAAGGCCTCCTCCACTTCAGAAGTAAATGTACCTGTTTATTACAGAAGACGAGAAGAGCAGCGTCTCTAAGTTCATCTTCATTCAACATTCTGGTGAGTTCCTCACGAGCTTCTGTGATACGTTCCCTATCATTACTATCTACCACAAAGATTAAACCTGAAACACGAAATTAACTCTGTAATATCTGATAATAAGGCAGCTTATGTAAGTCAACCATCAGTCTTAAACCAATGCAATATTTTTTTAATGTTGTACTTCAACACGTCCATCAAATTCATAAGCTAGGCATTGTTCATACAATGACCTGAGGACAAATAACATAAGAGTCCTCTTGATTACTGGAAAATGACTCTGAGAAATATTATACAATAGCCAGGACTAAAATTGTCTGCAGCTTCACTATTGACTAAACTGCAAACAAGTTACATGATCAAAAAGAAACTTTTCTCCTCAAAAATGGAATTTTTGTGACCTGCAGGTCTAACATCTACTATTCTAACAGTGTGTACTAATGGAGCTTTCAATGAAATTCTTTGAGTATGATTCTACTAACCCTTGTCTTTGGATTGCTGAGGAGATTTCGGAGACCTATATTTATAATGATCTAATGACTGGCCTGGCCAATCTTACCTTGTGTGTTTTGGAAGTAGTGTCTCCACAGGGGTCGGATCTTATCCTGACCCCCCACATCCCACACCGTAAAACTTATGTTTTTATATTCTACCGTCTCAACATTGAAACCTGGAAACAAAGAAAACATCATTTTTAATGAACAATGAATGTTTTATAACAGTTTAAAGAAATCCTGAATTTATTGACAATTATAACTTAGACACTATTCACAAGCAAAATCTACAGGCCTTTCAAAATCTGCCAGTACCCGGTACTTTTACCCAGCTGAAATCATGATTGTACCGGCCAAAAAATTTGATGGAGAAAAATTTGATATTTTATTAAAATTGTTTCTACAAGGTACTCCCCATTTTTGTAATAGTACCACCCGTTTCTAATCTTTTTGAAAGCCCTGAATCTATGGTTCTTCCTGCTATTTTCCCCACCCCACCACCCTTAATTTTTTTTTTCTGGACTATTGAGGGAATGATGTAAAAAGAAAATATTTTTTTATATATTGGTCTTTACATGCATTCATTTACAGTGGAGCATACCGTATCATTGTCTAAAAATATAAATTATGAATATATAAAGTGTATATACAACAGTGCTCCAAGTCGCACTTGCTATAACGTCACTAAATGGCAACCTATTTTTTGGTTGACATTTCAGAATTTCTGGTCACCATCAGCAAATAGTTCAGACACTATGTCAAAAACATCTTGAGAATATGTAACACAAAACCAGGAACAAACAGTCATATATGTATTATGTCTTACAACTTGTCTTTATTAATTCATAGATTACTTATTTCTATGACATAACGTTATAAAGTCCATTTATGGAATATTGTTATACTATCAACCACCCCCTGTGATTGTACAAAGAAAACACAAATAATCTGATCTAAGAATTAAAACGTAATCAAATAAAATGCAAGGAGTATGGCCATAATGGTTGATGTGTGCATTATTCGGACACCTATTGAGACAGGACTTGCAATTTCAATTTGGAGCACTGTTTGATTTCAATATTTGATTTCATTCTTAATTTAGAAAGCTTTACGATTACACAGTCTTTTGAAAATTTTAAAACCATACATTCAAAAACATTCTACAATTTAGACACTGAAATCAGTGCAAAAAATATGTATCTTAATCAGTGCATGATTCTTAATCAGTGCATGATTTGCACATTATCATACAATGTATTATATTTACATTTCCAAATATTTTTCCTTAATAATGCAAATTAGAAGACTGTTCATTTTGTCATGAACTACCATGGATGAGCATGAATATCTCCATTGTTACGTCATAATACCGTACTTGACGTCAAAACTATAGTGCAAACTGTTTTGCTTTAAAAATGACAGTTGAATGGCGTAATTTTTGGTAATGAAAATAATGTAAATACAAGAAATGAATTTAAATTTTTGAAAATTCATGAGGTACATGAACTACAACGCTTCACGCTGGCATATTTATCATGAAGCGCAAACATGCTTCGTGAAATATGCCGGCGTGAAGCGTCGTAGCTCATGTCCTCAAGAATCTTTAAAAATAAAATTCATTTCTTAAATAAACTGAACTATGACACATTACATTAGCCATGTGTCATATCACTGTGAGACTGTCATCTTTAATTTAGATTTAATGGTCATAATTTGTTCTCAGCTGTGCTTACCTATAGTGGGAATAGTTGTGACGATTTCTCCTAATTTAAGTTTGTACAGAATCGTGGTTTTTCCGGCCGCATCTAGACCGACCATCAAGATTCTCATCTCCTTCTTCCCAATTAAACTTTTAAATATACTGCTAAAAACGCTCCCCATCCTGGGCTGCTGTTGGTCAACACTTGTTAATTATTAATATAACCTGAAAATATGCAATATACAATATATTATACAAGGCATACATATCCATTTAAGGTCAAGATCTAGTAAATGATTTTAGACTGTATTTTTGATGCTAGATCCATTATGACGTCATAATCAAATTAAACTTTTTTTTTCCCCGTACTTTACGGCTGTAATAGAATTATGTAGAAAATAAAGTATTTTCCTGGAATTCAATTTGAAATCATGTGAAAAGTAATCCCGAAACCTACATTCAATTTCATATTATTTTAAAGAAGAGGCCAAGAACATACAAATTACCGTTTTCTGAGAGACTGTAGGCAATCTGGATACATTTAATTTGTCTGATATGGAAAAAAACTCCCATATTCATGACTGATTTTCCTAATTTTTCAATAAAAATGACAGTTTAATATATGATTTTTCGTCTTGTTTGCCTACAAATTATGCCCCGAAACACCTTATTTGACCAAGCTATATTTATAAAGCTTCATTAAAGGAATTTATTTCTCAAATTTGAGAAATCTGTAGGCACCTTTCATTTACTAGATCTTGACCTTAAAGTGATAAACGTCATCCCATATGCCCCTCAGAATGGAAAGTTTCGTTTTATGCAGCTTTGGATACAGACTATGCCAGCTACGATATAAATTTCACGCCCGAGCATGTAGTTTACATTTCCATGTTATACGACTGATTAGCTACGGGGTGTCCAAACTGTGGCTTGAACATGTTAAACCTACAACCCTCAGATTTAAAATCCAACGTTCTACTGACTGAGCTCAAGAGCTAACCCACTAGCTTTTGCTAGAAGGAGTCTGGCTCCGGGGACATAAAACTGAGATGAGCTCCCTTTTGATCTCAATCTAACTTTTTCATAAGGATTAATTGTGGAAGAGTGAGACTTGGATCTATCAAAAGTGAGCTCATCTCAGTTTTATGGCCCCGGACCCAGGTCTCACAATATACAACGCATAGCCACAACTCTGTTACTGTTAATTGAATTTCAGTACTTTCTATACACTTGGTACAGGACCATTTTATATTCAGTTAGTGAACATCCACATCCATAATGTACTGTAAAAGGAATCTAACACTAAATGTTGAATAAAAAATACGCATGCTGTGTTGCATTTGCCAAAGAACTTGACTCTATGTCCATGATGTCCAGACATAACTAAGGGATTTTCAAATCGTAAAAACAAGCCCATATTTCTTGAAGCTTCAAATGCTTTTAACTTCAGTAATGATACCGAATATATACTGTGGGGAGTACCATAATCTTAGTTTATTACATTTCATCCTAGTACATAAATCTCGACCCTACAACTCTTCTTTTAAATGAGCTAACACAGTTTACCCCCTTCCTGTGCCGTTAAAAAAAAAACATTTCTCTATGCGTTAATGCTTAAAACAGAGGGAATACAAGTATTTACTTCGCTCTCAAAGACCCTCGCAAGAGGCAAATTTCCCCCATAGGTCATACTCCTTATTGTCATCTCAAGTCGAGTAACAACCGGAAGTATTGTCTTTTCACTGTTTTAAATTCCTTGGAGGCATTTCCAACCAAATTTGTTAACCAATTTTACCTTGTACTCACCTTTTTCACGTCCTCACCTTTTCTGGTGCGTTAACAACGAGTATTTTTCTTAAAAATTATGAAATACTCCGTAACCTATTCTCTGGGACGAGTCAAAATGGCGGACGTGGAAAAGTAATCGTTGCACATGCCACGTCAATGACCCGCATTTGGGATAAGGGTATTGAACAATATTCTCATCCCAAGGGAGACTTCATTGTACAGACAGAGTTTTACTTGTGTTCGATCTAAATTAGAGTCCAATAAACGTAAATTTTATTTCAATATTGGGAGAAAAAAATAAAGTGCCCAAATAGAAATAATTCTTTTACTGAGAATCCTCGAATACGATTATCAGGAGATTGAGGGATCAGTCCTTAAAATAAAATGGCGCCAAATTTGAATTCTGTAAACGTTGTCTGTATTAAAAGTCCTTGATGTTATTTATATAAAATTCGATGATATATCTTAAAATAAAGGCTTCGTGCAAGCCATAAATACGGTTCTAAACTATGCTATAAAGAGATATCCATAACCGCATAATTTTTATTTAATCGTTTGTTCATTTTTCAGGGGAATATAACTTTGTCTATTGTTTTTTTTTTTATTTTTATTTTTTTTTCAGCGGCAATATATACGATATAGCGTATATACCCAATAGTACATAATGTTGCTTTGAACAGACAGTTTCTTCAACAAGAAATAAAGCCATTCTCGGATGACTAATTAAGTATAATTATATCTATGTCATGTGGTCACGCACTGAAAATAGCAATTCAAACAATAGAAACCAAATCATTTTGCCATGCAGTGGCTTGCCCAATTTTACCTACTGAATCCAATGAAATGAAGGAGCCTGTCCATAAAAAGTCAAAACTCTGTATTGATTCTGATATGATACCCCGGAAATCCCCGTTGGCTCGCAGAATGAAAAGACACCAGATATTCAATCGGGTGACAACGAATTCGATCATAAAGACAACAAAACATGATAAAGATCATGAAAACTCTTGTGAAGATTATTCGGATTTTTCTGATATTCAGGTAAAATTTTAACAGCCCGGTGCAATAAAGTTGAACACCATGCAATGTCATCACTGAGCTGAGTTATACAGGCCATGCATCAGACCATCGATCGAATAATTATGCGTCATCAGTGTGGGATCCTTATCATGCCACCTTAACGAAGGATTTGGAACAGGTACAGCGTAGATCAGCCAGGTTTGTCTTCAACCAGAACTTGGACACCTCCCCTGGGTCGATCTCTAACATCATATATTACTGGACCAACTAGAGTGGAACTCACTCCAGCATAGGAGAACATTACATCGTCTTGTTCTATGCTACAAAAGGAACCACCTTGTGGACATCAATCCAGACAAATATTACACACCTAGGGACAGAAGAACTAGATCGAGGTAGCTTTAGATACAGACAGCCTCGTGCCACCAAGGAGGTTTATAAGAATTCCTTCTTCCCACGTTCAGTGAGAGACTGGAATCGTCTGCCAGAGACAGTAACAGCAACAGCTACTATCGAGGAGTTCAGGACGGGACCAGACAGCTGCCACCCTGGTAGACGTGATGAGCCATATTGTAAATATTTTTATCTGTTTTTAAAAGAGGAAGCCTCCTGTTTTTAACCGAGCTGGAGTTATCATCACTCTTAGTCAGAGGTCAACTCCTTACCGGAAGAAGAAGAGGCCCGTAGGAAGCAATTTCGTTGGGGGGGGGGGGCACAACCATACATTTTCAGTTGGTGGGGAGCACTATCAAATACCAAAAATTCCTTGACATGGAGAGAAAAAAAGAAGAGGTCACCAGACGTTAAAGTTAAGTTATTGCGGGGGCACAAGCATATGGTACGTAGCGGGTATACTTGTTTTCTACAGTATTCTATATATCGGCAAATTACTGGGGGCACGCCCCCCCCCCTTGCCCCCAGTTCCTACGCCCATGTTATATTCCTTATATTCAGAGATGAAATCACAAGTGATTCCTCAAATAAAGGTAATTTCCTTGCAATTTACTATATATGTACAGTTGTTGGCAAAGCATGATGAGCATGCAGGTCTGCTCTCATGTACAGAGAACAAACAATTTAGATTTATGCCTTGGACATATTACATATACCAGCAAAACCATTCCAAATGAGGTTATCCAGAACTCAGGGAATCACATCACAGGTAAAATTTGGAAGGTTTAACAAGGTTGGGGGTTTTATTCCATCAAAGCCGATGAGGTAGCTGACAAGTATACAAAGAAAGAAGTTTTAGTCTTGTGTCTCAGACTTCTGGATAATGGAGAACACCCTAACCCTGCCATCATTTAGGAGAAATTCCTTGACTTTGCAAATATGGCCTGAGTAGAACTAGTGGGGAAGCGATTGCTGATAAACTTATTGAAATCCTCCTCTTAATTGCAGTTCTGATTGAGAACATCGATGCGAAGCATATATATTCGACGGTACATCAGCAATGGCATCGGAAAAATGAGGGTGTCAGGCAGACCCGTAGCAACGGTTTCAAAAGTGTTTGGGGGCAACTTCCCAAAAAAATCTGACAAGCAAACAAAACAAACAAACAAAAAACAAACAAACAAACAAAACCAAAAAAAAAGCCCTAAACTGACCAAAAGTGGGGGGGGGGGGCAACTTCCCAAAATTATGTCTGACGAGCAAAAAAAAAAAAAGAAGGCATATTTTACTGTCCGAATCCTGAAATTTTCCAGTGCTCGACCGTAAAACATCAAAAAGTGGGGGGCCAACCAGCATCTAAAGGAAAATTTACTATAGCAAAATAGTATACTCAGAAAAAAGTGGGGGGGGGGGGCTGCGTTCTACGGACCTGTCAGGAACGAATTAAATCTCTAAACCGTTTTGTACATTCACTGTCGGAGTAATGTAGTATGTACTGACTCTGCTAAGCATCGCTTCAGCCTGCAAATTATACCACTAGTGAGGGATATGATAGATGTCCTGAATTCAGTGTTCATTTTCTTTGACAGTTCCCCTAAACGACAAGCTTTAAGGGTTTCTTGAGACTACATGTATTAAAGAAAATTAATGATGAGTCTGTAGATTTTTTCAGAAAGAAACTAGTTGGACTCTAAGACTAGATAGCAGACCCGCAGCAACGGTTTCAAAAGGGGGGGGGGACTTCCCCCAAAATATCTGACAGGCAAAAAAAAGAGCCTAAACTGACCAAAAAGTGGGGGGGGGGGGTTAACTTCCCAAAATAATCTGACAAGCAAAACATAAATGAATGAATGAAAAGGAAAATTTACTATGACAAAATACTTTACTCAGAAAAAGTGGGGGGGGGGGAGTGGCGCCCTCGCCCCCCAGCGTTCTACGGGCCTGGGTAGGTTGAGCGTTATATCTGCTTCCATGTCTTTTACAGTATATCTATAAGTATCTGCAGCAAATGCTCATTCGAAAACCTTGATGAAAGTACCAGTGAAGACAGTCTTAAAACTGGGACAGATAAACTAAAGTGACAGCACAGGGTCTTTTGGCTTCGATGACGTCCCAGGCACGTAGTATCGTTTTTGGAAGGGGGTGGGGCAGCCAGAAAAAAATTTCAACTGGGAAAAATTTGAGAAGGAAAAATAAATAAATAGATTAATAGAGAAAAAATTGTCCAAAGTCGAAAATCCTATTTTGTGGTGGTGGTGGTGATGATGATGATTGTGGTGGGGGTTAGAGGTTCCAACTTTTCCCACAACCAGTTTAGATTTTTTACAATACCACCCACATAGCCGTTATTCGATTATACTGTTACAAAAAGGGGGAGGCAAACGGTAGTCCCACCTGACGCCTCCTCCCCGATAATCACGTGTCTGTGTCATTCTGTGTTGATAACATTTTTGTTTTCAAGGTATGTCCTAGATACAACAAGGCCTTTGACTGCTAAACTTCAGAAAAGAGATACTGACATATGTTCACTGCAAGCAAGTTTATTAAGGAATAAACACGCGGGCAGGATTCGTAGAGAGGTGGATGACGAATTCGAGTCATATGCTTTGAAGATGCAAAACAAATTGCAGACGACCTTGATATATAGTGATTAAAATCCCGAGGGTTTGCTCCAAGCAGCAACACAGGGAAAATGTCTTCACAAATAATTATAATCTAAGAGATTTCTATCGATCTGTTGTGGCCATTAGCTACATGTAGTTTTTTTCCACAGTGTATATTAGAAACGAAGTTTCAAACAGAGGATCAGGTGGCACATTCAATATGCTCTTTGTTTCACGTCAATGTGACAAATCTTTCACATGAAGAGTTGTCCAAACTGTCCCTAGAATTACAATTTTGGGGGAACAACCTGCTTTGTCTTTTTTGTAAAGGATCGGAGAAAGAATTCAGAGAGTGTGTTAACATATGAGCAAAGAAACTTCAGACAAACTCTTCAATCTGCTTAATCTTTTCAACTACATGTAGATGGGGACGTTTACCAGAACGTGAAAATTCTTCCCATGCACTTGGATGTGTTTTACCTATAATATGACAACATGTGAGGCAGAAAGATCCTTTTCTGTACTACGACGCATCAATTTTAGAGTTACGAGCGCAATACTATGCAAGAATTTAAGACAGATTGACTGGGCTTGCACTGATACAATTTCACCATTTTTTTTAGAAATTGACCAGAAAGAACAGGCCCATAGAATGCGGGGTGGGGGTGGGGTGAGGGGTTGGAGGGGCCTCACAACTCCACTTTTTTCTGAGTAAAATCTGTTGGTGTAGTTTTTTTTTTTGAATATGTAAATTTTCATTGAGAGACTGGTCCCCCAGCTCCCGCCCCCATCCCCACTTTTTGTTGCTGAAGATTGAACTCTGTTGAAATTTCCAGCATTTCATAAGAAATGTACTAAAAAGTTAGAGGAAGGTCCAGCCTCCAACCCCCCCCCCCCTCCCCGCCCACAACGAATTAGGATTTTATTGTAGAATGACTATATACATATTCGGATAAAATATATATATATATATTTGGCTTGTCAGTGTATTTTGGTATTCGCAATACAATTCATACTGCTGATTCTAGCATAGTCCTAGTTGTTTGTCATTTTTCCGGAAAGATTATTTCCTATCGTGTCAGTTAAACTGTTACATTACAGGTAAGCTTTTGAAATATACCGCACAAAACGTAAATATTTCACCTGGATCGAGTGCGACGTGTGTACAAATAAACCCAGAATTTCCTGTCTTTTTTTAAACTGAAAGGATAGAAAGAAGTGAAACATGTAAATCACTTAGACAGGTAAGATTTTTAAACATAGTCTTCCATGATTTCCTTTGTCAAAAAGTCTAAATATTTGATAAGCGAGTAAGAAATACTGTTATCAAATATGTTTGTCTGGTTGGGACAAAAAAAATAGGTCAAACCGACAAACACATACCTCTGCGCAGTGATCGGGTTATATTTATCTATCCGATAATAATTTTATTGTAATATTACATTGTTCAGGTATATATATACATACCTGGAACCTACGGATTTCACAAAAAAAAGATATGATTAATTGTGTGAGGAAAATCTAGTGGCGGATCTTACGTTATACAGCTTTGTAGATGGAATGTCAGGTATGCAGGCGCTGTAAGCCTGTAATTAATGATTCATTACAGGTGTGACTTACCTGAAAAATTGGGACTCTTGAAATTAAATTCTACATGCTCGGATGATCACTTGTTTATAAACTGTAAAGTGGGAGGTTCACATTTTTTATTGAACACCTACTTAACACACAGAATGGAATTGAATTTAAGTTCAGGAAGTCTAAATTACGTACGTGTCTTTCAAGATGAGAAATAAATTAAATGTAAAAATTAAAGAACTTTGTAATGATTAACACCTATGTAATTTCTAGGTCATGACCACAATGGTAACAAATATATAAAGTCTAGATGAGTATTGTGTGTGACATACTGCCAAAGATGACCATATTATATATGAGAGAGAGAGAGAGATTTACATGTAATACTGTAAATCTATTTTTATAACATGAAAATAAAAACCATGTATATTTCTAAAAATAAATAAATCTCATCAATGATTATTATTGAATTAATTTAAGCAGTTTGTACTTACTGGTGAAAAAAAAACAACAACCAAAATTTAACTAACAACCCAAATTAACATAACAGAGACAATTTATGAATATGGTTTGATTTTTATCTCGGAAACTTATACAGAGTGAAGAGTACTTCATAACAGCAGGTTACATAATGGTGTCTACTTTAGTCAATTAGTGTACATTATTTACTGTACATGTATTGGAAAGAAGAAAGTACGTTATGTACCAAAATCGGCCCTGTCCCCGAATCTGTCGAAGATTTTTTTGAAGCATGTCTAAGATGTCCTCTTTTTAATTCAGCTTAATTTTTGTAATTATCTCAAATCAATTTTCCTACAAAGCTATCTGAATATAGATAGTTTCTTTGGAAAATAACACTATGACGTCAATCTAGCGACGCTACGCAAATACGAGGGTTGTTGGAAAGTTCGTTATATTACTTTAGTTTATATGCTATTTTCATGACAAATATATTTGTATAAGCAACATAGATATGGTCAATCAATGATAAATTTATTTTTTTAACATTATTACACGAAATACACTATTATTATTACTCCTAGATAAGAATTCGTCTTTCCACTAACTTTGTATCCACCACCGGAAATAGTCATGAAATGTCAAAATTAACATACTGCACATTCCTCGAGCAAATTCTTACCCTTATTTTTGCTTGTCTTTCATCAAATTATTTTCAAATATATATGTTTTATTTTGCTCGAGGGGTTTGCACTACTTCAATTTTGGGAATTTGTTGTAAAAATAGTGGAAAAAATAGCAATTTCCGGAAAGAACGGATGTTTAAATCCTGTGAATACCTCTAATCAACGTACTTGCGAAATTTTGTTATGCATATATCAAAACTACCAATCTTCATCTACATGTACATAGTATTTATATTTTTTCAAACGTGTATATAAAAATACGAGAAATTGTGGGCCTTGGAATAATATGTAATGTACTTAGTTCTTTGAGTGGAACATTAAGGTGTGAACAGGTTAACCTGGTAAATAGCCCAAATTATCTTCTAAAAGCAACTGATAATCATGATAAATGTTTGTGAAAATGACATTACATGATTTGTCTCTCCATCCAGTCTGGTCAGTTTCCAGTCCCTGGAGACATGACAAAAAACAGATTTATTACTGACCTCAAAAATTGAATGTTTTTTTTTCTTTAGGTCAGGTAAATAAATAGACAGAAGGATTTTAGAAAATGTTATGATGAAACAATGTTAGCAAAAAAAAACCCCAGGAAATCCATAGCAATTTGTTCATCATCTCATGTCATGGTCTGAAGTCAGCAGCTGTCTCCTACCAGCATAGCTTGGCAAATACAATGTGGACGCCTTTCTGACGGCAGGGTCCTAGGCCATTTACTCCCCCCTCCCCCTCAATCAGGTCCGGAGAAGCTCCTGGAAGTCCACAGGAATTATCATAACATTTAGGAGTGTAATATTTAGTTTCAGAATGTGCAGTGAGAAGATAATTATAATTAATACATTGAGTTATCTTCTGCCATGGTTTTCCATGATATATATATTGATACATGTAGGAACACAGGAAAAAATTAATACATTTAGCAATAGCAAATATTCATTTTTTTTTAAATTAAAAACATTAGGAAACAAGTGAAAGAACAAAATATTAAAATTATTATATAAATTAAAAAAAACTTTCATACATGAAAAATTTGTTCAAATTTCCAATTGCAAGCCTTAAATTTCCCCTGTTAAGCTGTATGATTTAATTTCATCAGTATTGGAACCAGAAATGGCAATGTGCCTTAGGGAATATGGGAAAAGTGGGGGGGGGGCACAACACCTCTTCATGACTGCCACTGTTTTACCAGAACAGAATATCTCTGCCTACAAAATAATTTTTGGACTTTTTTTTTCTCGTTTTCTTCTAAGTCAGATGAGTATTGTTTCAATTAATATCTGATTCAATCCAAGTAATTTAAAATATAAAGAGCACATTTTTCAATGAAAATTCCTTTGCATGTGTTGCTCATGAATATTTATTGAAAACATTACCCATTTTTGCTTGTAGGTGGCTATTAAATAAGTGGTAGGACTATAACTCCATAGTTAGCTATCCATATAAGGTTATAAAAATATTAACTGTTTTTCAGCCTCATTATGGATAAACACCAGGAGGCACTGATCATTGCTCGGGAGGAGGAAGTAATGAGGCATGGTAATGTTCTGTATGGACTGGTCAAACCACTCAGGGAGGGGAGAGAACTCCTGCTGGAATCCTCTGCAGCTATGGTCAATGTTCTACCGAGAAAAAGGTAAGTCACCCTTAATTATTAAAACTTATTAATTATAGTGGTAAATTTGTCTATATGTTTGATATTTATTATAATAACACTAGTACTAATATTTTGATTACAAAAAATTAGATAACTTGGCATTCAAGTGTATTTTCTCATCTTACTAGTTAAAGTTAGGGTTAATATGAATATGGAAAAATTTATACATGTAACACTACACTATATAACTGTGCAAATTTAGTGATTTTTTTCTTAAAAGTGTACATTTATTACCATTGTATTAGCATAATAAATTTTTTGCAATTCCCCCCCCCCCCCAAAAAAAAATAAGAGACATCTATAGCAAGAGTTTATTTTCTTATTTAATAAAAAAACGCATTTAAATATAAACATGATAAATTAAGCAAGTGCAGAATAATCAGAGCTAACATTCTGTGTTCAGAAACTTCACAATATTGCATTATCACTGTCAGTTATTTACAACATGCATTTACCGAAAATGCTTTATTTTTAATTTTCATATGCATACAAATTACATAATATATAGTACACAAGATTAATGGCTACACAGGATAATGTAGTGCTAATACTAAAAATAATTGATATTCTGTTTAGGATTTACAGAATAGGTGGAAGTGACGAACTAGAAACCTTCCGCGCTGAACTATTAAAGCGTCCTCTAGTTGTTCAGCCCATTGTTTTGGCAGGATCTGGCTTTCAGTCGATCAACTGCTTCTTCTCTGTCCAGAGAGGTGAGGAAGAAATAGAAATTGGAATCTAACCATCTGATAAGTCGGTATATGTTTAATCAACTTCTTTTCAAAGAAGCTATAACATTTTGATAAGTCAATAAATGTTTTATTTACTTCATTAGGAGATCACTATATGGTCAAGTTCTGTGTAGATATGGCAATTGTCACAATGTTTTATTAGACATTTAAAAAAAAACCCAGAGATTATACTATGTCTTCATGCCTCACATGATTGTATTAGCAGCTGTCAGGGTAAAAAGGATCAAGATGCCTCAACCTATTCATTTTTATCTAAAAGTGATCATGCAATGTGTATATTATAGCTTTCAATGGTGATGAAAAAACCTGAAGCAGCCACCAGCATCATAATCATCTTGAGATTTTAAAACTTTCTTTGGTTTTGTAGAGAAATGGACTGTCATGATTAACCAGACCCACCCTAAGATCCTGGGCCGACTTCTGATGGGGATCGATGCCGCCAAACGGATCATGAGGCGAGGGGAACCTTTTGTACTAGAGGTAAGGAAGATAATGATAATTACCAGGACTTATTCACCCTTTGTTAGTCCTGTACCCTTTCAAATGGGAATTTTGAAATTAAAAATTTGGCAAAATTTGGATATATTGATGACTTATATGATGTTTAACTGCAGATTAAAGCATTAGATTGTAAACTTATTCCCTATTTACATCCTTATGAGTCATTTTTATATCAAAATTCAAGATATTTTTATATAAAAAGCACTGTGAAATTCAATTGCTAGTCATTAATTTGGGAATTTTTACCTAAATTTTTTGGGAAAAAGTTAATTTTCAACTGGGACAGGGTCTGGATGCAATGGATTAAATCCCTGACTACAGTCAAACCAGTTATAAGGTTGATTAGCATTACCAGATTTATCTGGATTGCTATAAGAGAATTCACAATATATATTAAATTGTTTTCCTCACTAAACAATACAATCATACATTTTGCAATGCTTCCTGAAATGTCCCAGGAACACTAATGTTGATGAAGATTTATCATAAAAAAGTCATAAATATTTGAAAACAGGCAAATTACTATAAAAAACAAAACATTCAAGTAAAATCCAAATACAGTTGAACTTCAGTATCTCGAACACGGATATCTCAAATACCATGGATATTCGAAGTGATTTGGAAGTCCCAACCACTTATTCTTTAATATTTTACCCTGGATTTCTCGACACTTTTTCTCGGTCACATTGAGTTCTATGTAAGGAGGTTTGACTGTACATTATATATATCTCAGATTTTAGAGTATTCAACAAATTAGCAATGACCCAATCAAATTTATGATGATCCTTTTTATTATTATTCAAATATTACAAATTCATTATTCATGTTTCATAGTACATGTTTACAATTTATAAAACCATATATATAATTTTTTCTGTTAAACTCAGATAATTTGAAATCTTAGACTATATGTACATGTGGCATTCATACATATATTGTACATCATACGGTGGCATTCATACATATATTCACCCATTACATCTCACATGATGTAACTTTGGCCTAACCTCTGAAGCTTATTAAGGACATACGCAATGTTCTTTACCTACTGATAATTTTTCAGGATATTCTTAATATAAGATTATAGTGCCATCAGGTGTTCGTAGACAAAAAATCAGCATACATTACCAGGGGTTTTGAAAAGATATCAATTGATGAAAATATTGTATAATTCAAAGAAAAATATACAAAATATATTCTAGATGTTTTTTTTTTATCCAAACTTGTTTTATAAGAAGTGTACAACAGAATATATAGACAATAAAATGTAGGACACAGTTCCTTTAAGTATTGGAACTCTTCAACTCCAGGGAAAAAGACAATTAAGTTCAAACTATGTTGCATATGTCCTTAAACAATTAAAAATTATAAATAATTATTATTTTTTAGTTTTGCATAATGAGCTTTGACATCACAATTTATTAATTAGATTTTTTCATCTCTTCCAGTTCATGTTTAGTGATATTGTACGTCGGTTATACTATGACGTAGTAAGGGGCGGTACCAGTTCTAAATATAAGTACACAGACTGTGAATTTGGAGACTTGGTGATCCGTTACCCAGGGGATTTCAGACATCAAGGAATCAAGTGGGAGATGAAGGTAAATAGTTAAAAAAGTAAAAAAAAAAAAAAAAGCCCCTACGCCCACATACTAAATGAAGTCCTTAGGCCTACGCCAACCTACCAAACAAAGCCCTTATGCCAACCTACCAAACGATGCCCCTATATGGCCACCTACCGAACAAAGCCTCTATGTCCCTTACTAAACGATGCCATCTGTGTTTTTCTTGCCTAATGAGTACATTTAAACCTTCCACAGTAGCTTTGATTTTGTGTTGAAAAATTTAAATAACCCATAGAAATTGGATGAGATGCTCTTAATTTTGCTTTTGTGTAAAAGTTAAGTGGGGTAACTCAGAAGCTACTGAACATTATCCTGTAGAAAATAGAAGAGAAATCTCTTAATAAAAAAGCTTATATGAAGCTCAAACTTTCCCTTAGAAATAATATGCTGATATTGTTACTATCACAATAAAAGGATACTCTAATCCTAAACTATTCCACAAAAATAGTACCTCATTACAGCCAATTTCACAATGATGTGCTACATGACTGTATTAAATTACTCTCAGAATATTCCATAGAAAAAAAAATTGGATACTCTTGATTTTACAGCAAAGGAATATTTCACAATCCAGGGTTAGAAACTCCCTAAAATTACAACTTGCAAATAATTGCGAGTACCAAGAAAGTGAACTCGCAATTTTATAAGACTACTCGCAATTTTCATATAAAGTTAAATTTATATAAATTAAATACATGTAACTTAAGGAAAAAGTAACTACTGTAGAATACACAAAATACAACTACAGTGTGACTTTTATTTAAATTACTGATTTAAATCAAAAGCATTGTGTTCTGTCATATTATATAATTTTGCTACAGTTTCAATGCAAAAAAAAATCAACTCGCAAGTTTTTGCGAGTTACCTAATTTTTAACTCGCAATTTGGGAATTCTAACTCGTGTTTTGCGAGTTGTATATAGTGAATTTCGAACCCTGCAATCAGACTATCTCATAGAAAAATATGAAGATACTCTTTAATTTCATGATAAAAGAATATTTCAGTGTGGATACTCTTAATTTCTCAATCAATGGGTAATTCATTAGGTTCATAAATTATCCCATGAAAAAAAAAAAATCGAAAACTTTAATACCTTTAATAGATTTTACAAAAAAGGACGATTTCTCAGTCTATCCCATAGAAAAAAAAATGATAATCAAAAATTCATAGTAAAAGGATACTTCACAATTAGACAATCCCATAGAAAAACTATGTACTTTCCTAAAATATGCCATAGAAAACAATTAGCAGATCCTCTAAATTTCTCAGTTAAAGGAGAAATTATAACCTTTAAACTATCCTAAAGAACAAAAACACAGTTACAAAAGGAATCAGGACTATTCCAGAAAAAAGTGTGTAGATGTTTTAATTTCATAATAAAAGGATATTTCATAATCAAAGTATCCTATTGAAAAAAAAACCTGTGGGTATTCTTTATCTCACAATCAAACTATCCCATAAAAAATGATGATAATTCTAATTTCACAAGGATATTTCACAGATTATCCATTAGATAAAAATGTACATGATTGCTCTTAATTTCATAGTTAAAGGATATTTGGATATTTCACAATCAGACTATCAAATAGGAAAATACAAGGATACTCTTAAATTTACAATAAAGGGATATTCCATATTGAGACTATCCCATCTGTTTTCCCTTTATCAGTTATCTATGACCCAATTTTCAAAATTCTGATATTGAGATAGAATGGCCCTTTGCTAGGGGAGATAACTTCAAAATTGATAAATCACAATGTTTCTTTAATAAACTTTTCATTATCAGCAATGAATTTTCTAAATTTCGCACCGTACGTAAATGTAGCTTATTAAACGTGCTTGAATTTCGTTTATAATTTTCCCCCTAAATTTTAGCCCAGAATCAATTTCCCTCAAATGTACTTGAAATTATTTCAATATTATTAAAATTTAATTTATTTGTAGGCTTCCCGAATGCGTTTTTCGTTTGATGACATCACTTCTTCAGAAATTCGAATTCGAGATTATGAAGAAGCAAATCGTGAGACTCGGGACACACGTATTATAGTGTTACCCCGGGGTGAGTACTGTGATTTATGAGTCATATTCTATTGAAGTGTCTGTTACATGTATTCATATGTCATTTAACAGAATAGGTACAATTAAAAAGTTAGAAGCAGGGAGAAAAAGCTTGTTTTTCAAGCTGTCATGAATATGTGTCCTGCCTTTTAAGTTTAATATACTAGTATATGAAATAAACTGGTTTGAATTACATGTATGAAGCTTACATTATATCGCTTGATTGAAAAGTGTAATGTCTTTCTGACATATTTTCTTAATTATCAATAAAAAAAAATCTGCATAATGACTAATTGTCACATACAAATTCAACTTGAAAAATTCTAAATTATGTAGAGGACAGTAATATATATATACATATATTTCCCCTTTTTATTTATATCTTACCGATAAACAATTGTATGTTTGATAATTTTCTTTACACTAGATGAATTACAAGTTCTTTTACCTGGATGGACATTTGAGGAAGAAATTGCGGAGGAAAAACCTTACAACTATGAAAATTATCAAATATGTGAGGAACAAAATCATGCTCCAATCTCTGCACCACGTGATACGTCACGAGAACAAACGGGGAGAATCAGGGGTCGTGCTAATCGGAACACAACCGCTAAAAAATATGAAGTGTCGGTAGAGCTACATGCTCCAACATCTAACGAAATGACTCAAGAGACTAGCTTTGTTTCACATGATTATAAAGGAGTGGCAGCATCTTCTGAACCTCGAGGGCCTTACAACGGAAGTAGATTTGTGCACAGATATCAGGGAAGCGGAAGTGGGCGTTCGGAATCTTCTAAAGCAGATAGTGGTTATGAGGGTGAGATTGACAATGGCGGATTTGAAGTTCAAAGAAACGGTAGAGGAAATAAAAATTCTCACCCCAGGAAATTTTACACCCCGGAAAATGACAATCGAGTGCCATATGACAATCCTGCATTTGCGCATGATCATGACATTCATCCCTCCTACGATGGCTACTCAAAAGGTAGTATTGAGGGGTCACACAAATACCGGACAGATAGATATAACGAGTCCTATCATAACCAAAGGTCTCCCAAAAACATTGTGTCACATGATCATGACGTCATTACAGGTGCGCGACAATTTCAGACGATAGAACAACTAGACGCCAGAATGACTCTTAACCAGGAATACGCAATTTCGCAATCGAGTGTTATTTAATACATGTTAATAAGCGCTTTCTATTTTAAACCAACACAATGTGTTGATGATTGTTGATCTACAAAGTTACATAATATACGTATTTCTATATTGTATTGATATTCAAAGTGATAATTACAGTTTGTATCGGGTACATAACAGACTCTGGATGGGGTTATTGTATACACTGTACTATTTTTAGTTTGTTGACTTATTTATTTTTATTGGTAGTAATATACATGCGAAATTTTGTATAAAAGTGTCATTATATGTAGACTAGTAAGCCTTTTTCAAATATACATATCGCATGGGTAATTTCTTCTTTACTTTTCATTATCAATATTAATACTGTATGTTCTGTTATGTTTGAAACTCTTACACAGTGTCATAGCTGCAGAACTGTAGCTCTCCGCTTGAGAAAATTTGGACAGACACCCCCCCTCTCTGCTTTATCTGTCCGAATTTTCTCAAGCAGAAAACTACAGTTCTGGCGCTAACAGTATCATTGTATAATATAGCCCAGTGTTTGGCTAGTGAATCAAGGATGATGAGACAAATATCCCGATCTACTGGCCCAACTGATATTACAGAATTCAATAATCCATAGTCAACCACCGTAATCTCATTTCAAATTTAATATTTTTAGTGATTATTTAAAAAGAAATTATAGAAATATTTTTTTATTGTTATAAAGAAATCAAGTGTCCTTGCCCCCAAATATCAGCGTTTAAAAAATTGTACAGCTGCTTTTATGGTATTTCTAAATGAATTCATTTATATTGAATATAATCTATTTGACTTACGTAATTTATGAAAGGAAATACATGTATAGTTTATTATAGTTACATGTAGATGAAACATATAATTGTATTACTTTTAGATATTCCTACTTGTGTATTTATTGCAAAATATGGAATGCCTCCATTAGTTATGTTAAAGGAAATGGCCAAAATTATTTTCGTAAGGGGGATTTTTGTAAATTTTAAATCGGTTTTTAGAAGACACTTTTTCATATGATTGTTATGCATAATGCTGTTGCAATTATTTTAAACCAAATTTTGTACTGTTCAACAATGTTTTTTCTTTATATTATGGTAACTAATAATTCAATAAAACTTAAATTTTTTGTCTTGTGTTTCAGCAGAAGAAAAAATGCATGATGTTATTGTTTAAACATATTTCAGGGGCGGATCCAGAATTATTTTCCAGGGGGAGGGAAGGGGTCCACAACAACTGTTATAAATGTCAAACTCGGAAATTTTTTGACAAGGAAAAAAAACTTTCCCAAACCTGAAAATCTTATTTTGGAAAGAGGGCGGGGGTATAGAACACGGCACTTTTGTAAGTGTAATCTCTTCTGGTATAGATGACTTTCCTTACCTTTTTCAAGGGGTCCGTGTGTTTCCTAGGGAGTCCTAGGGCATTTTTTCGTTACTTTTTAGAAATTTAATAACAGAAAATCCAGGGAGGGGTGGGTGGTTTTTGAACTAAATTTTATTATATTTAATGTAATTTTAAAAGTTAAATTGATAAAAGCATATGAATTAGGAATTTTTTAAAAATCGAGAAAAGAATAGATCACTCCAGACTTGGGACCATTGACAAGCTTTATCTTTTTTTTTTTAAACTTTTTTTCTTTTTTTTTTATTTGGTTCAGATTTTCTGATTCATAAGTACCAATCAAATGGGACTCTAATAAGTTTACAAGTAAATAGAAAGTACTTCAATGCACGTGCTACAGGTTTGACACCGAAAGGCTTAATAATGTGATTGGGCGAGATAAGAAAAACAATCAGGAATTGTAATATCCCCGAAAGATGTCGTTAATTATGTACTTATATAATAGTTTTGTACTTTGCATGCACTATGCCTAAATAGTAGTCAGGGTTTGACACATGGTGCACTAGCCGGAGTGATCTTCGTTGTGTATATATATATGTACTTGGGTATAGTCAACTTTGTGATAAATAAGTACGTGGGGATAGTCAACTTTGTTGTAAATAAGTACTTGGGGACTGTCAACTTTGTTGTACATGTATATAAGTACGTGGGGACTGTCAACTTTGTGATAAATAAGTACGTGGGGACTGTCAACTTTGTTGTATATAAGTACGTGGGGACTGTCAACTTTGTGATATATAAGTACGTGGGGATAGTCAATATTTGATATATAAGTACGTGAGGATAGTCAAGTTTGTTTTATATTTGGATGCATGCTATTTTACAGATATCGATGAATTAACATTTACGAGAATTTGAATTAAAAACATTTACATGTATACTGAAACGCAAAAGAAACGCAACAAGCAGTAATCTACAAATATTTGAATTTTTTATGTAATGATTTTCAAAAATGAATACAGTAAGGTAAAACTTGATTTATAAACATCAGAGATTTGATAAAAATGTTAAATTATAATCTTTTAACTTTAAAAAGTAACACATGAATGTTAAAACACCCCCCACCCCTTCCATTCAATTACAGCGTGCAAGACTGCCATGTACAACAGTTGCGGCCTTATTTTTTATGATGCAGTAGGTTTATCAATCTCGAGATCTGAACGAAAGAAATATTCTTTGCCATTTTTAAATGCCTGTTTTTTTTCAGATGATGAGGTCGAATTTTCTCTAGCCAAGCGCAGTGTAGTAACCCTTGGACTTCCGGTCCAAGGACCGTCATTCATGCTAATTATACGTATGAGCCTGCTGAGGCGTGATGTGTTGCATATTTGCATCTGCAACTCTCCATCACCTTTATTTTGAGATTTTCCAGCTAAAGCAATGAAAATGCGTACTCAAGTCATTTTTAGGAAGCCTTGGCATCGCTTACGGAAAAGAAAGGAGAATTTATTTTTCGTAACATTGCTTCATTACTTATGATGAACAGATACAAATTCTTAAAACCCCATATTTTTGCCAAATATTTTGTTATACATGCAATTTTTGATTTCTGTTAAGCGGACTCAAACTTAACTTCCGGTTATGGTATGAAATCATTCAACCGTTAAATTACCGATATTTACAAAGTTTAAGATGTCCTTACATTTTAGTCACAAAATTATATCCTATATATAATATTTCCCGCTAAAATAGGATGTTGCGTTTCTTTTGCGTTTCAGTATAATACATGTATATATCTGAGGATGCTTGCATATCAATATCACTGGCCCTATTGTTATTGAGAACGATATTCATAAAGATATTGTATTATAAATTCCAATGTAAAACTTTGATCCCCACACTACTCGTGGAAGCCTAATGGCTCTTGAGATTTTTAAAGATTGTTTCTTATATATTTCCACTTAAAAATTCGATTTCTTATTGTGGCCTCAGTTGTTCCTTGGGGACTATAATAATTTTTACAATTTAGAATCTACACTTTGTCAGAAAGCTTAATATAAGTTTCATCTTCTCTGGCCTAGCGGTTCTTGAAAAAGAGATTTTTAATTTTATTTCCCATCGAAATATTCAAAACTTTATTCCCCTATTGTTGCCCCACCCTTTCCCGGGGTTTATGATTCGAACATTTTAGAATCTTCACTCTATCTGTAAGTTTTATTTTTTTTATAGCCCAGTGGTTCTCGAGAAGAATTTTAATGACCCCGACCTATATTTTTCCTTTTCTTGATTATCTCCCCCTGGAAGAAGGCCATTCATTTGAACAATTTTATATTCCATTTACCCAAGGATGCTTTATCCCAACTTTGGTTAAAATTGGCCAAATGGTTCTTGAGAGGAAGCTAAATAATTATGTGTAAAGTTGGAGTAAAGATGAGAAAAATAATTAATATTTATAATGATAATTTTTTTTCCCACCTGAAAAATATTTTCCTTAATATCTTACAGTATCTTGTTTTAAATAAAAAGTCACCGTAAACGCAACATTACCTCACAAGCTTATTTCTTTGTGTTTTCTACACAATGCAATGACATGGTGTCTACAACATTATGAATAGCATTAAGAGTCCTTCACCTTTGACCTCTCTTGGTACTGCAACTTATGCCCTTCCTTCCCGTGACACCACTCTTCTGTGTACCAGGTACATGAGATTGGACTGTTTAGTGATACTTTTTTTGAAATTTGTCCTCAACTTAATACACACCAGTAAAAGTTTTGACTTTGTTGTTTTGGCTCTGGTATCAGTAGTACACCGAAAGGTCAACTTACAGTCTTTAAAATTTTGTCCACATCTTAATTTATCATAGACATTGATCTTTGACCCTTAGACCCTTAAATAGCTTAAGGGCCTTTCTTTGATCAGTAGCCTCCTCTGTGGCAAGTTTGAGAATAGAAGACCAAATGGTATTCTTAAATACATGTATTGTTTCGGCAACATTGGTCAAATCTATCTCTACGTAACTATAATATTATGCCTTGTAGCATACTTAAGACTGGAAAGTCAAATAAAACTTAACTAGTATATATTGTGTTCACAACCTTGTTTTGGGAGCAATATTTAAAGGTATACACATTTTCATCAAGAATTAAACAAATCAAACAGATCCCGAAAAATATCAAATTTTATTCTGATATATTTACATTCATCAGTTATTTCCCTTTTATAAACTGTTTTTCATGCATCAAGGTAACGCAAAGTAACAAAGATCTTACATGACGTCACATTACTCATTGTTTGAGAGATAGGTTTAAAATAACTTTAAGGTCAAGATCTAGTAAATGAAGAGTGCCTACAGATTTCTCAAATTTGAGAAACAAATTCCTTTAATAATATATTACAATTGTAGCTAAATAAATTGAGGTGTATCGGGGCATAATATTTAGAAAAACGGAACGAAAAAACATATTTTAAACTGCCCTTTTCAATGAAAAATGAAGAAAATCAGGAATAAAAATGGGAGTTTTCTCCATCTCAGACAAACAAAATGTATCAATATTGCCTACAGTCTCTCAGTAAACGGTTTTTCATATCTTCTTGACCTCTTCTTTAAAATGATATTAAATTGAATATAGGTATCGGGGTTCCTTTTGAAATGATTTCAAAATGAATTCCATGAAAATGTGTCATTTTCTACTTAATTCTGTTATAGCCGTAAAATATGGGAAAAAATAAAATTAAATCAATTATGACGTCATAATGGATCTAGCACCAAAAGACAGACTAAACTCATTTACTAGATCTTTACCTTAATATATCAAGTAGAACACCAAAAAATAGAATTGCTTCTTGTTTTTATTGCGTCATATATTACATAAGATCTGTAGACAAATATTGCGCTAACGCAATATGCATATTATTTCGTGTGATTAATGTCGTACTGAAAATAAAAAAAATATCAATGTTTAATATTCACAAATAAACGACAGAGAAAATCAAATGAATTACACATGTAAGAATGAAGTGATCATAGCCTAATTCACCCCCTACTTGCAGTAACTGTGTAGTGTTACGTATGTTCAAGAAGCTTGGAAGTAACATATACTCAAATTTCTTAAGTTTCATATTTTGTTACAACTGAGGTATTGTTTGACTGTCTTTCATATTTGTGTTAACTGTATGTTGACACAACTTTGAATTATACTCAATCTCTCTTTTATGTAATATTTACAACTTTTCACGCCAAATTAAAGGAAAAATCCTCAACTGTTTTACAGAATATTTTTTCCTCTTCGATGTAATTTAAAAGTAGTAATATATAAACAAGTGTAACATTGTACATATCATGCTGGTAAATTCACCTTAACTTTCCTTTTTTGACGTATTCGTAATTCGTATTTTTGTTTTCAGAATATTTCAAATAGTCTGTATGCTGCATCTTTAATATCTGGTACATGTATATAAAAAATAAGAATTTAAGGGTTAAAAATATCACTTGGAGTGTATGTTAAGTTTCAAGCATGAATCAAGTTACCTTTTACTAAAAGCTTCCCACAAAACATCTAAAAATTACCATAAAATTACCCAATCTACATGTATCAATTCAAGCTTTAAGTACTCTTAAATCGAATTAAGTATGTTGTAAGTTTCCAGTATTCTCCAGTCTGGTTCTTATAATCATCAGATGATAGGCATAAAGGTTTTTCTTTTTCCTTCTCAAGGATTTGGCTCACAATATTACTAGTATAAAAAGTATTTTTTTAATATATTAAATTTAAGTAACCCTCGACTTATACTACGATATCGACTTATAGGCGAATTCGTCCTTGACACAGATTCCGTTATTTTTACCACAGTTTCCAGTCACTGTCTGGTTATTGTTTATACACGGTGACATCTCGGTCTCTGTAATATCAGTGTCTACAATTCCCCTTTGAACTTCACTTTCACAGTTTGTCTCATTCTGGAAGGACGTTAGCAACGTTGAATCTGATTGGTTAATAGGATTATTTTGTTTTACATCGCTTCTATGTAATGCATTCCCATTGGACGTTGGAGGTTGTTTAACAGAATTTCGTGTCCGTGACAAAAATGTCCGTGTCGTTCTGATACTTCCGGTCCGGTCAGTTATGTGCCGGCGCCAAACTTTTTTGAATTCCGCCTGCACCTGAAGATAGAAAGATGAACATAGCATGAAATCATAGCACGAAATAAGGACCCTGTCTTTGCAAAATTATAATAGTGCTTATTCGGATTGATACATTTTCTGTAATTTCTAATTACATCAAATAAAGATCTAGAACAAAAACTAAAAGACGGACTAGCTGCTGAAGCACATTATTTATTACCCGTTGCAGAGAAAATACAATCTTGTAAAAAGTTTTTCATAAATAACAATTGGTTTAACTTCAAAATCACACTAACAAAATTTTATATAATTCTCTCCTTACGGTTAGAGCGCATGATACAAAAGTTTTGAATAGAAGTCATTTTAAACTTACTGGAGTATGATTGGAAAGCTTAAGAAAATTTAGCATCAGATTTAAGAAGGCACAGTGCTTGGGCGGGGAACTAAGGGCATGGGATCCTCACGAAAATATTTTCATTCATAAATAAAAACTTTATTTTGTGGGAAAAGGGGGAATAATAAAAACTTTAACAAATCCTGGCTAATTATAATATAGACCATGCTAAAACCCTTTTTTGTGGAGAGGGTTCTATTCATTTGTTCTAAAAACTATCGATCTTTTCCACAAGTGAAATAAGGTTGATAATTTAACTCTATATAAAATTACTATAATGATAATAAACATTCATTCTTACCTCAGCGTTTAGGAAACAGAAAAGCATCGCTAGGATAAATCCCTAAAATAAAGATCAAAAGTCAGTGAGATTCGAAGTCAAAACAAGAGATTGGCCTAGTCTCACCTGAAATTTTTCTGAACAGTGTGTATGTTTTTTAAGGAATATCAACAGACAAGCATCCTGAAAGCCAAGGCATCTAAATCATACTAGTACTGTTAAACATGTTTATACCGAAGTATCAGGGATAAACAATTTCTTTTTTAAGAAATTCACAACAGTTTACAGATACTACAGAAACACAACTGTCAGCTTATTAGCTCGCCGAGACTTATGCTTTAATGAGAAAAATAGAATATCAATAGAGAGAAATAATCATTCAATTAATAACTTATTAATTAACTGTAACTGACTGACTGATTTTTTAAGCCCCCACCTCTTCCATCCATAAAAGAAATACACTTGCGAATATATAACTTGCAAGGTTGCAATATTGCTTATGAATGACCTCTGATCCCATATCATTAACAAAGGTCCATTTATGTGCAGAAATCCATGAAAGAAAAAATTTCGCGTAGTTTTTCGTAGTTACTTATCCCCAAGGCATAATTTCATGCAGGAATTTTACGCCAAAAGGCTGTTGTACAAGGCTAATATCCTAAAATCATTCAAAAGTGGGAGCAGAGGAAGTAATTGATTTTACTTATTAATGTAAACATGATATCTTTTTTTTTCTAAACCTCCAACTGAACGCTGATGCAAACCATAAAAATAACGTCGTCAAATATTTATTGGTAAATATAGGAAAGGATGTAAAGTGGATTCGAACCTCACAGATTTTACAGTAATGTACATGTATAATTTAGTATTTGTATATCAAGATCTAGAAGAGTAATTTTTCGCATTATTATACTATCTAGCACTCAGCTTTTTCTGTTACACAAATTGGTTTCGTACTTTACCTGGAAGGAGTTGAAGAACAATTCCGACCACCACAAGATGAAGTACATCAATGACTTTTCATCCAGATAGCCAAAGCTTGACATGAGGTAATTTACAGAGTATATGATGTAATAAACCCCAAACAGGGGAATAAGGATCAGCGTGGATTTAGCCAAGCGTCTGAAAAACAAAGACGAATCATCAACTGAATGTTTATCACGAGCTTTTTAGAAACCATTTAAAGGAAAGAAATTGATACCGTCATCAGCTTAAAAAATAAAAAGCTACCTAAAATTCTACGAATGCTTGTCCAAATCCATAAAAATCTACTTTACATTCGTATGTTTGTACATATGCAACTACTATGGCGAGTTTATTAGAGATTGGATAAATTTTCAGTTTAATCTAATCAATATTAATGTTCACAAAGAATTTTGTTTTATGAAGGCCGGTGATAAAATCCCAAAATAAGTTTCCCTCAAATATCAATAAACAACACATTTCTCTTTCTGTTGTTTCGTTTTATGAGCATATCTTTTTCTTTTTTTTTTTTACAATATTCAAAATGTAATAAAAAAGAAAGCGTCGTGTATTGTGATATTTATGAAAACGTACATGAAGTATCTTTAATTCCAAAGGCCAATTTTATAGTTATGTTTTAACAATAGTCATCTATGCAATGAAGAAAAAAAGACTTGGCTTTAAATACAGTATATTTAATACATAAAGATTTATAAATGTGAATATCTTTTGATTAGATTACAAAATATACAACATAAGAAACTATACACCAAGCATGCTTAAATTCGATTTCCACTGAAGACAATACTCATTTATTAATAAGCTATAACACAAAAACCAAATCTACATGCATATAATTTTATACTTTAATATACTAGTAATCCAAATGAATCTACTTCCGGTGGACTGCGCATCCAGGTCAAAGTTCAATTTGACTGGATACATATTTTAAAGCGCCTTTATGATGGTCTGCAGACATATGCAATGATTGTGGCTTTAAAGTAAAGATGTTGAGAACATTTGACCGAGAAATCTTAACGCCTTGACTTAAGCAAAAGTTAACATCAGGCCCGTAGAACGCCGGGAGGGGGGGTGTTGTCCCCCTTTTTTTCTGAGTATAGTTTTTGCCATAGTAAATTTTCCTTTAGATGCTGGTTGCCCCCCCCCCCCCCCCACTTTTTGATGTTGTAAGGTTGAGCACAGGCAAATTTCAGAATTTGGACAGTAAATTAGCTTTTTTTTTTTGCTTGTCAGATAATTTTGGGAAGTTGCCCCCCCCCCTCCCCCACTTTTGAAACCGTTGCTACAGGCCTGATTACATGAAATTTAGATCCTGTTGTAACGAAAAATTCCCTGTATGATACCACTGTTATGTATATTCTTGTCACCACAGCATTTAAGAAAACAAGGATGCATCATCTACACCTATCAAACAACATACACCTACATGATATACACATGTTAAACATACATGTACCTCTGAACTAAATTTTTGATGAACCACCGAGTGAAAATATCATAGTCCAAGAATGTAGACAAATTCGCACATTAGTCTGGTTCATTTCAAACTTAAAAGGGCAAAATAAAAACTTGATGAGACTGTAGCCCAACTGATTTTCATTTATATATTTGCATGCACATGTAGCAATAAGATTCGAGAACCTTTCTTGAGATTTAAGCATTTATTTATCGAGTTTCACTTCAGTGGCGGATTCAAGGTGTGTGGGAGTTCAGGACCCCCCCCCCCCCCCCCCCGCTCCATGAGTCAGACTAGTCATTAAAAGTAAAAATAAAAAAAAAATAAACCCAAACCAAACAAACCAAAACACAAACAAACAAAAAACAAACATTTGTTTAAATAAAACAAGAGGCCCATGGGCCACAACGCTCCCCTGAATAACTTTAACCCTGCTGTTCTTCTACAGACTTTCTACCTTGTAATACTTATTGTGGCCCTGCCCTACCCCCGGGGTTATGATTTTGACAATCTAGAATCTACGCTACCCCAGGATGCTTTCACGTATGAATTCAGCTTTTCTGGGCCAGTGGTTCTTGAGGAGAAGATTTAAATTTTAAAGATTTTTCCGATATATTTCAATGTAAAACTTGGATTCCCTATTGTGGCCCCGCCCTACCCCCGGGGGTCATGATTTGAACAATTTAGAATCTACACTACCCCAGAATGATCCCACATGAGTTTCAGCTTTTCTGGTCCAGTGGTTCTTGTGGAGAAGATTTTATAAAAAAATTTCCTATATATTTCTATGTAAAAATGGATTCCCTGTTGTGGACCAGCCCTACCCCCGGGGGTCATGATTTGAACAATTTAGAATCTGCACTACCCCAGGATGCTTCAACATAAGTATAAGCTTTTCTGGGACAGTGGTTTTTGAGGAGAAAATATTTAAAGATTTTTTTCATATATATTTAATGTAAAACTTGGATTCCCTATTGTGGCCACGCCCTACCCCCGGGGGTCATGATTTTAAAATTTTAAAATCCGGGCTACACTATTCCAGGATGCTTCCACATAAGTTTCAGCTTTACTGGCTTTACTGAAGATTTTTTAATGACCCCCACCCTATTTTTGTCTTTTAATGATTATCTCCATTGAAAGAGGGCTTGGCCCTTCATTTTAATGATTTAAATTCCCCTTCACCCAAGGATGCTTTGTACCAACTTGGCCCAGTGGTTCTTGAGAAGAAGTTAAAATGTGAAAAGTTTACAGACGGACGGACGACGGACAACGGGTGATCAGAAAAGCTCACTTGAGTTTTCAGCTCAGGTGAGCTAAAAAGGAAAATTAAAAGTATAATTCGACTTATATATATAGACTCATGAAAACATTCTTATGGATTAATTATAGATACATACAGAATTATGTATCGTGATGTAGTCAACTTATTGAGCCTAAAACTGCAGCATATAGCAATCGAAAGATTGTTTACAGATATACATACATACAGACAGACAGATAGAGGGTGACATTACATCTTACCAACAGAAGCTGTTCTGGTTTTCAACCAATATGAGTATAGATACAGATATATTCAATTCACTGGGGCGAACAAATACTAATGTAACATTGTCTCCAGCTATACTGTTATTTTACAGGTCCACTAACCATTACACGTGCACATACAAATATTTTTCAGGCGATAGGTAACGCTAGACACTTAGTATTAAAACACCTAACTTCCTATTTACTAAAAAAATATCCAACATCCTGTTTACCTGATCATGTGACCGTCAATGTGACTAAAATAGAAATAAGATGGAGAGGTAACATTCTATAACAACCATCAAACGAAATCAAAGAGGATAATTAAAATTCACAATAAAAAAGAGTCTTCTGAAACAAAATAAATTAATGGAAGCGATTTTAGGATATATTCCACATTAAAGGATTCTAGATGCTATAAGAAGGCAAACTGGTGGTCGTAGAACAATAGGTTTCCAGCCATTTTAAATCATATCATTTCTGAGATATACACACCTGTAACGGAAGCTGTTTGTCTGATGCCCGGATGATGCATGGAGTTTGGTGAATAATATTCGCACGATGTTAATGAAAATAATAAACTGTATCTAAAAAAAATTCTACATGTCATATGCATCAAGAATAAAAAGTTCTACATTTCATTAAGAACAAAAAGTTCTACATTTCATTAAGAATAAACAGTTCTACATGTCATCAAGAATAAAAAGTTCCATATTCATCAAGAATATTTTCACTTTTCAGTCAACATTTTAAGTCATACAATGTACAATAGATAGTTTTCAGTAGGCCCAAATTAGCAAGAGTTATTTCCCGTTGGCCGCCATACAATAAAAGATTTTTTTTAAGTTTGACAAACAAATGCTTTTCTAGAATAAACTGAAATGATAAGTTTATACATATTGGTATACATTTGAAAATTTACCAGAACTGTGGCTGTTATTGGTCCGTATATAATGAACGTGATCAGCTTATTCTTCTGAATATTCCAACAGCTGGAAATGAAAATAAAAATCTGTAATCGTCAGCTAGATCTCCTATTGTTATTTACTAGTATATTGTTATATTTGTCAGTAAAATGATTAATGATCGTGTCTTCAAAATTATAAGGGTTTATTGGAATATTAAGGAATCTATGTATAGAGTTTTGATGACCATCAAGCAAAAACGTTTTCAATGGTGGAAACCATAACCGATCGATTAACCATCCAACAAACTCATGTTGCAGTATTAAGTGTCAAATGTCTGCAAGCAGGGTATAATAGATAATTATCCCTGATATTTATCTCGCTCATGTGAAAAAGGTCTAATTTAAAAATATCGATCAATTTAATTTACAATTTTTGATATTTAGGACCAAAAGCAAGATTTATTCAATCCAGTGTTTGTATTTTGTATACTCACAGTTCATTGAATTCAAAGATCCGCACAAGAACCCAAGGCAGAACAAAACTTAATGGAAATACTGTAAATGGATACAAGGGGAATTAAATAAACATAAATTTGTTGTAAAATAACATTTGATCACGCTTTATATTTTTAAATATAACTGAATCTGAAAATAACTTTTTGTCATGACTGAATCTATCCGGCAATTACTGAATCTAACTGAGAATAACATTTGATAATTACGGAATCTAGTCTGCAAATACTGAATCTGACAGAAAATAACATTTGACCATTACTGAATATTTGAATAAAAATTGATCATTATTACTGAATCTAACTGTGAATAACGTTTAATCATTACTGAATCTTACTGAGAATAACATTTGATCATTACTGAATTTTACAGCGAATAATGTTTGTTACTGATATGGCTAAGAATAACATTATATTGATCATTACTGAATCTGAGAATAACATTTGACCATTATGAATCTAACTGAGAAATATTTTATCGCTGCTCAATCTAACTGAGAATAACTGTATCTAATCAGAAATAATACTTGTTCATTATTGAATCTGACAATAACATTTGATCATTACTGGATCAAATCTAAAAAAAAAAATCGATCTTTACTAAATTGAATCAGAAAGTAAAATTGATTATTAAAGAATGTAATTAACTGTTGATCATTGCTAAATATAATCAGATATAATGTTCGACCATTAATGAATTTGACCAAAACTAAAATTTGATCATGACTAAAACTAATCAGAAATTAGATGTGATAATAATATTATTAAATCTCAAGAAACGACATTGGATAATTTCTGAATTTTATGTCAAATAAGATTTGATAATTAATGAATCAATAAGAATTAACAATTGACCAACGCGTCTAAAAACATTTAAAATATTTGATCATTACTTAACATATTTATAAATAATAACATTCGATCTTTTCTCAAACTTATTAAAAATAACGTTCGATCTTTAGTCAATCTAATTAGAAATAACATTTGATCATTACTGAATCTAATAATAAATTATATTTGATCATCTCTGAATTTAATAACAGGTATATATAACATGTTATAACAACGTCGTTTTGATCATCACTTAATCTAATTAAAAATAACAGTTGATCATTTTTTAAAATGTCATATTTAAAAAAAAAACAAACAAACAAACAGAAAACCCCCCCAGAAAAAACAGAGAAAAAAACAACAAAACAAAACAAAAAACCCCCCAAAACAAAACAAAACAAAACAAAAAAGCAAACAAAAACAAAAAAGAACGAAATAAAACAAAATCAGAGTCGAAGTGAAATGAGAGAGAAAAAGGATGGGACAGAAACGAATTCAGTTAACCACAACTAAGATTGCATGGAACTCTATAAAATCTCTAGAAAATTATAAATTAGCCATACTTACACCATCCCAGTAACATGAACCATTTTGTTCTGTTTTTCTCCGTGAAAACAGAGACAGATATCAGAATCTGAAGATACAGCGCCTCCACAAATATCCACATATAGCTAGCGGCCAATGTATAGTTATACAGAGAGAAAAATAGCCGACACTCCCAATGCTGAAACCAAAAAATGTAATTAAAGTGCCTCCACAAAAATCCACATATAGCTAGCGGCCAATGTATAGTTATACAGAGAGAAAAATAGCCGACACTCCCAATGCTGAAATCAAAAAATGTAATTGATATCCACATATAGCTAGAGGCAAATGTATAGTTATACAGAGTGAAAAATAACCAAAACACCCCCAATGCTGAAATCAAAAAATACAATTGATATCCACATATAGCTAGCGGTCAATGTATAGTTATACAGAGTGAAAAATAACCGACACTCCCAATGCTGAAATCAAAAAATGTAATTGATATCCACATATAGCTAGTGGCCAATGTATGGTTATACAGAGTGAAAAATAGCCGACACTCTCAATGCTGAAATCAGAAAATGTAATTGATATCCACATATAGGTAGTGGCCAATGTATAGTTATACAGAGTGAAAAATAGCCGACACTCCCAATGCTGAAATCAGAAAATGTAATTGATATCCACATATAGCTAGTGGCCAATGTATAGTTATACAGAGTGAAAAATAGCCGGCACTCCCAATGCTGAAATCAAAAAACATAATTAAAGTGCCTCCACAAATATCCCCATATAGCTAGCGGCCAATGTATAGTTATACAGAGTGAAAAATAACCGACACTCCCAGAGCTGAAATCAGAAAATGTAACTGATATCCACATATAGCTAGTGGCCAATGTATAGTTATACAGAGAGAAAAATAGCCGACACTCCCAGAGCTGAAATCAGAAAATGTAATTGATATCCACATATAGCTAGTGGCCAATGTATAGTTATACAGAGTGAAAAATAACCGACACTCCCAATGCTGAAATCAGAAAATGTAATTGATATCCACATATAGGTAGTGGCCAATGTATAGTTATACAGAGTGATAAATAGCCGACACTCCCAATGCTGAAATCAAAAAATGTAATTGATGTCCACATATAGCTAGTGGCCAATGTATGGTTATATAGAGTGAAAAATAGCCGACACTCCCAGTGCTGAAATCAGAAAATGTAATTGATATCCACATATAGCTAGTGGCCAATGTATAATTATACAGAGTGATAAATAGCCGACACTCCCAATGCTGAAATCAAAAAACATAATTAAAGTTCCTCCACAAATATCCACATATAGCTAGCGGCCAATGTATAGTTATACAGACAGAAAAATAGCCGGCACTCCCAATGCTGAAATCAAAAAAACATAATTAAAGTGCCTCCACAAATATTCACATATAGCTAGCGGCCAATGTATAGTTTATACAGAGTGAAAATAGCCGGCACTCCAAATGCTGAAATCAAAAAAACGTAATTAAAGTGCCTCCACAATTATCCACATATAGCTAGCCTAGCGGCCAATGTATAGTTATACAGAGTGAAAAATAACCGACACTCCCAATGCTGAAATCGAAAAAATGTAATTAAAGTGCCTCCACAAATATCCACATATAGCTAGCAGCCAATATATAGTTATTCAGAGTGAAAAATAACCGACACTCACAACGCTGAAATAAAAAAAAAAATTAATTAAAGTGTTTCCACAAATATCCACATATAGCTGGAGGCTATTGTATAGTTATACAGAGTGAAAAATAGCCGACACTCCCAATGCTGAAATCAAACAAGAAGCCCAAGAGCCTTGAATCGCTCTTCTGTTAGACTGTACAACCTACCACTTCTATTTGAAGCCTCTAAGTATCCTGTATACATGTATTTATATAAAGCCTTGAAATTCCAAAGGTTGGTCATCTTGACCTACATTTTAGATGAAACACCCAAGACGATTCTAAGCCAATAAGTACCTGAAAGTAGGTCAGGGTGACCTACCTATCACTTGTCATTCTCTGAGGACCCAATATGCATCAACTAAGTTTGATGATTTTAAGCCAATTAATACCTAAAATATTTTTAAAATTACAACCATAAAATTTCAAAAGTAGGTCACATTTACCTACTTTTCAGTCGACCTACTCCGAAGACCCAAGATACACCAACTGACAAATTTGATGATTCGAAGCCAATTAGTACCCGAAATATTTAATTATAGTCATATAAATTGAAACGTAGGTCACGGTGACCTACTTTTCAGTTGACCTACTCCGAAGACCCAAGATGCATCAACTGACAACTTTCAAATTTCAAGTCAAATAGTACCCAAAAACATTAAATACAGCCATCAAATTTCAAAAGTAGGTCACGGTGACCTACTTTTAAGTTGTTGTACTCCAAGGACCCAAGATGCATCAACTGACAAAGTTTGATGATTCTAAGCCAATTAGTACTTGAAATAATTAATCAAAGGTGACCTACTTTTCAGTCGACCTACTCCGAAGACCCAAGATACATCAACTGACAAAGTTTGATGATTCTAATCCAATCAGTACCCGAAATATTTAATTATAGTCATATAAATTGAAAGTAGGTCACAGTGACCTACTTTTCATTTGACGTTTTTCGAGGACCCAAGATGCATCAACTTACAAAGTTTTATGATCTTAAAATGTCCAAATTGTGCATCTAAAACGCTTTGAAATCGAATGCCTGCAAAGTTCAAAAAGTAGGTCACTGTGACCTACTTTTTAATAAATATGTTTTATGGCCCCAAGATGCATCATCTTACAAGATTTAATGATTCTAAACCTCTCAGTATTCAAATTAATGACCTTAATTGTTTTGAAAAAGATTGGCCATAAAATTCAAAAAGTAGCTCAAGGTGACCCACTTTTTAGTCAACGTATTTTGAGTACCCAAGATACATCAACTGACAAAGATCATAGGCCTTTAATTGTTCAAAATACGCCTCTAAATCATTTTGAAAACGAATGGCCGCAAAATTTAAAAAGTAGGTCACGGTGACCTACTTTTGAGTCAACATGATATGAGGTCCTTAGATGCATCAACTGACAAGATTTGATAATCCTAGTTCTAATAGTAAGCAAAATATCAACATTTTAATAAAATGTAATTTTTGGTCAACTTTGAAGTGACCTTGAGACCATACCCTTTGCCCCAGGGCAATTCCACGCGCAGATTTTAATCTACAACATATCTTCATCCTTTTGTGTAAGTTTGGTGATAATCTGCTTAGTGGTTCTTGAGAAGAAGATTTTTTAGCAACCAGTACTTTTGTTTCTATTTTCCTAATTATCTCCCATTGTTTAAGGGTCATAACCCTAGTTTTGGTATAAACGGGAGACCTTGGGCCAAGGATACCCTGTGACAAATTTGACAATAATTGGCCAAGGGGTTCTTGAGTTATGCCCCACATTCTAAAAAGTTTGCGCACACCACACAAATGACCATCGCATTAGTTCTTTGAGCCTTTGGCTCAGAAGAGCTAAAAATGTAATTAAAGTGCCTCCAATATCCACATATAACTAGCGGCCAATGTATAATTATACAGAGTGAAAAATAACCGACACTCCCAATGCTGAAATCAAAAAATGTAATTAAAGTGTCTCCACAAATATCCACATACAGCTAGCGGCCAATGTATAGTTACTGTAGTATACAGAGTGAAAAATAGCCGACACCTAATTACTCAGTATTTCAGCTTGTAATCCTAGAGTTATTTTAACCGCATTCGAATAACATTTAGAAACAGTTCAGTACTTCTTCGTTTAAGACGGCTTTATGTAGAACATCCTTCCAACTTTTTGGCAGAGGTACAAAAATACTCACAGTGACGTCATCTCTAAATTTAATCTGGCCATGTTCATAGTAAACATCACCGGGAAATCCTACAAATTCCACCAGCAGATTTTCCTTGATAAAGGAAACAATGGCACGCAGAATAAAAGACACAAACAGGTTGATATGGATGGCGTTTCGAGCGCAATGGAGCTTTCTACAACATAATAAGATTATACGTAATATATACATATGTAGGCTATATAGGGATGGATTGTCCCAGTTTCACGAACATTGTTTTCATTGATACATGTATGACAAAAGAAGCCCATAACTCTTAAATGCATAAAGCATGACGATTTCTGTTTTAAAGTCATTTTTTACTTCAATTTTACGTTTGCTTAATTTTTATTTTTTAGAAATTCACAATTTTTTTCAACATAACTTTTAATTAGAATTGCAAATAACAAATGCTTTGAATCAGTAAAAAAAAAAAATAGAACGACACTAAAATCTCTGATTGTAAATTTAAGTTGTGATTTTTTGGCATATCCTTGCAAGAAATAAGCAAGATCAACTTTACGGTGTATACTTTACATGTAGGTTTACAGAAAACTAAACTCACTTGAAGTAAATCATAATGACCACGGCTATCACTAATGACGCTAGGGAGAGACCATACCCAATGTTATACATCAGACGGACCGAGTCCGCATATTGCTGAAAATTGAAACAAATATCAAGTAATGATCAATTTTGATTTACACGTGCAAAATCTCAAAAGTAAGGGATAACTTATACGTAACAAAGCAAAATGCCAATGAATAACTTCAAAACACATATTTTTTTACAAGATGAAATACAAATATTAATTGAACGTAACAAAAATGATGGACAAAAATCAATTAATAAATCACTGTGTTTTCCAGAAGGAGTGTTAATTTTTTTTTTTTTTTTTATAGATTCCTTTTTTGTCACGTTTTACGTATATGAATATTGGATTTGTACGTAATCCTAAAAGTTAATTTTTCTTCTTAGAAATATTCTATTCAGATGATGTATTCTCTATATAAAAAAATCCCCATACCAACAGTCATTACTTTTAAGAAATACAAGTTATTTTCATGAAATTGAAAAAAAAAAGATTCTTTCCTCAATTAAATAATTGAAATATAAATACCATCGTTTCAGATATTTTCCTTTGTGATCTAAAGGTGATCCTTTATTTTTTATTTTTTTCTCGTATGATTCCTATATTTACCTCGATCAGCGCTGGAACTGTGCGAGGATCCTCGTTTGTTTGTGACCCGAGGCACTGGGTAAAGTTGGTCCATGTATGGTTATTGAGCGGATTAACAAACCAGGAACCATCCTCATTACATTGTCTAGAGGCATTCTCTGTGATAAATTAATATAATTATCAGGTACGCATCTTTTTAAAGATACTTTCTTAATTTTGGATCTTTTTAAAAATTCCCATGAAAGAAATTTGGATAGCAAAAACAATTGCAATAAAGTTCCATAGCTGAAAAACTTTCCAACAGGCCTCTGAATGGAAAGCTTAATCAATCAATAATGTTCTGACAGAATGCAACATTGGATGTCATATTCTAACATACAGCTATTACTCACTGGATTTATCTAATACATGTTTAGACTAGAGTATTACTTTAATTTTCTTAAAAGTATATAACAATCAAGCTAGAATTGGGAGAAGGACAAACAAATAAGAACTTATATCAGGCATGCTCTAATAAACCAGGGAAAGACAAACTCTAGTGTAATTGTCAATATCCATAAAACCTTTACATTTAAATCAGACTTGGAAAACTGTTATATACAGAATGTTGATTATATTTTTTTTTATCAGAATAGTATACTCTCTTTTCACTTCGAACGCCTTTTGTTAAAAAAAAAATACGCTACTTGTATGCTACATATTTCTGATGCAACGATCGTTTTACGCATTTGATGGCCCTCTTCTTTCAGTCAATCACATTTAGAAAACCTACTCAATCTTACTGAACTTTTTTTGATATTTAACATTGACCCTCTGATAAAAGAAATATAACTCCTTTTTTACGTTGCGCCTCTGATCAAGAGAGATAACTGTTACTGACCGGAATATATAAATATTATTCCTCTACAAAATTATCAAGTTATAAGTCCATTGCTGACAAATCTTGTACTGCAAGGTATCTTAAAATTATGTGCATTTTAATTACTAGTCTAAATTGGATTTCTTTTGTAAAATTATTAACGTTAAATCGAAATTTTTTATTGTGTACAGAGGGACGCTGAGCCTTAATCGAACACGTTCTGTAGATGTATACATTACTCACCGCTGGTGTCAATATTTTTAATGTGACTGGGACAGGGCTGGATCGCCAACTGGCCCGCGGGTGTGGGAGGCCAACACATCACTGAATCCCAGGCTCTTCTACAATGGATTCCTGTCAAAACAGTTACAAGATATACTTAGCCTATATATAAAAACAGTTACAAGATATACACTTTATCCATTGAATCAACTTAGAGATATCCTCAGTCTATCCATAAGAACAGTTACAAGATATTCTTGGTTTCTCCATAATAACAATCAGCGTATTTCCTTATCTACTCATAAAGACAGTCATTAGATATCTTTAAAGTCTATAACTAAAAACTGCTATACCAGATATCTCTAGTCTATACATAAAACACAGTTTCCAGACATTCTCAGTATTTCTGAAATAAGACCAAATATACATCTGGACATACATTGTCTATACTTTTTATAATAGGATGCCAAACTTTTAAAAGTTTAGTTACAGGAATTGATGTAATGTTTAGAAACAATTATTATCCCCGATCTAAGCCTCTTTAATATGTATACATTGGATGACTTTGAAATTCATACGGGGGGGGGGGGGTTAGCCCAATATAACTTATATAGGGGTAAAAGGATCGGACAGCCCATTTTAGAAATTCAGATAGCAAGATGGATGCAAAAAGCTCATGAATAGAAAAAATAGCATTCTGTATTTCAGAAGTAATTAAAAAATAAAAGGAACAAAGAAGGTACACCCCCTCAGCTTGACGGACGGGGGGACTGGAGTGATTAGTAGTACTAGTCTGGGGGTTGGCGTTTGCGATGCAGGTGAAAACAGTCTTTTCATTTTAAAAAAAAAGTTACAAGATTTCCTTAGTCTTTCTCACTTTATATGCGATTATTATACCTCTACTGGTTTTTTCCCTATATAACATTAGATTGTTAGATGTGACTAATTCCCTAGAAATCGTTATGAATGGACTAATCCCCGTGCGTTAGTCAAATGAGGTAATCCCTGCTTCGAAAGCTAATTCCCGGTTATCCGTAATCCTCTAGATTTTACTTTTACATTCAATTTGGTATGATATGTGAATGGACTAATCCCCGTGTGTTAGTTCAGTGAGCTAATCCCTGCTTTGAAATCACGCTATCTGAATCCTCTAAATTTTACGTTTGTATCGGTATGATAAAACAGTTAAAAGTATATCATTGCGAGAGTTAGCAAGTTTCCAGTTCTCCTCGACTGGCGAAGCCGAGGGAAATAGTCCTGGTCGAGAGGAACTGGAATCTTGCTAACTTCCTCAATGATATAACTTAACTGTATATTGTTTCTTTTAGTTTGGTGGTTAGTTAGTTAGTTAGTTTATTTGGGTTTTTTTGTTTGTATGTTTATTTTTGTTTTGTTTTTATGCCCCCGTTTCGAAGATTCGGGGATAAACAGTTTTTGCCCTGTCCGTCCGTCTGTCTGTTTGTCTGTTTGTCCGCAGAAACTTTAACCTTGCCCATAACTTTTGATTGGTTGGAGCTATGACTTTCATATTTCACATGTGTATTTCTTGTGACAAAACCTTTCTTTGGGTACCACCATATTTGACCTTTTTACCTTGACCTTGGAGTTTGACCCAGTTTTGCAAAATTGTACCAAACTTTAACCTTTGCCATAACTTTTGAACAATTGGTGCTAGGGCTTTCATATTTCACATGACTGTATAATCCCTGTGACAAGACCTACCTTTGGATACCAACAACTATGACCTTTTGACCTTGGACCTATGAGCTTTTGACCTACTTTTGGAAAACTTTAAACTTGGTCATAACTTTGAGCGAATGGTGCTTCGGCTTTCATATTTCACCTATGTATTTCTTGGGAGAAGGCCTTTCCTTGGACACCATTAATTTTGACCATTTGACCTTGACCTTGATGTTTGACATACTTAAAAAAAAAACTTTAGCCTTTTCCATATCTATTCAATGGTTGCTGCTAGGGCTTTCATATTTCACGGGTATATTCCTCGAGATAAGACCTTACTTGGGTACCAACATATTTGATTTGCATTTGAGAAAGTTTAACGTTTGCTATAAGTTGCCATACGGGGACATCAGTGTTTCAAAAACACATCTTGTTTGTTTTGCTTTTTTTTTTTTTTGGTTATTCGAAGAACTGAAATATACTTTCACATGTGATATGATTTTATTTGATTTATGGACACGGATTATCCTCACGGAGTGAATGACCCGACATTTTGATTAGATTACCCTCCTCTTTATAGAGAACTACAAAGTAAACCTCCGTGTTTAAGACCGTCTTATCTAGCAGTACAGAGGAAATTATTGTTCCTCCCGATGTTCAATGTTTTTATGTCACTTCTTATTTTTCGTCATCATCTTTCACAGTTTTAAGTTACCTTCAAAGGAAATCAAATCTTTTCTGCATCTTTATAGCTTTGATATTGTCTGAGCGGGGAAAGTTAGTTGACCCTAGAGAGGGAGCGTGACCTTTAATCTAAATTTAAACCTCCTCCTAACCAAAGTATTAGCCTTGTGGTTCTGGAGAAGATGAAGAAAAAAGAATACTATTACATGTGTTAGTAATAGACATTCAGATAGCTAAAAGAACAGACAATTAGACGGACAGACAGACAGCTTTAAGAACAGACGGGCAGCTAGACGGACAGACAGAATCTCCTTAGAAATCATTACTTCAGACAACAGCTCGGATTAGCTTAATTGAGCATGAAGTTATATAAAGATCTAGGAGGGGAAGTGTTCACAGCAATGTCATTATTATGGCCTTCCTTCCCTGTATCGTCCTCAATCATAATACCAGTTTAATAACTGTGTAATAGTTTTAGTAAGTACTCATACCCCTCTCCCTTTTGTATATGTATATAGTTGTTTGAACAGAAATACATTTTATTCATTTGTTGACTGCGATAGATCTTTTTTCATAATATATAGGTATACATATCTACTAACATGGTGAACGTTGCGTATTTCCAATTTTCTGTCCAAGAGAACTAAAGGCAATGTCATATACCTATTGAAGATGACCTTATATTGCTAAAACATGTATATTTCAAGACAAATTCCTTATTGTAGTATAGATGCAAAGAATGTACAGTATTTATATTTCTACAATATGTCTCTTGATGCGAAGGTTTTGGAAGTTTGAGGTCACCCGTTAATGGTCCACGCAGAAAATAAACCAGATGCGATGGGGGAAAAGTCATATTGCTCATGCACTAGAATACTAGACACAACTCGCTCTTAAGACACTGCATCCCCAACAAGAAATCACCCTCCATTGGGATAACTCGCCATATTCACAAAGACAATTTACGTGATCAAACGCAAAGCATACATGTATTTTAATCTGAATGATAACGTTAATTCTGTATCTCTACGTACTAGTTTATGAATATAAGCACTAAGTCATCTCTTATGTATATGCATCTTAGTAAATTAATATTTCTACTATATTTTTTATACATATAGTATCATAAAAGTTGAAATATTTATATTTAACAGATAAGATGTAGAATATTTATATATGGAACAACCTTATACAGGATGATCGAAAAAGAAAGGGGGTAGTTGTTTAAGGGACTAGTTATTTTGATATAAAACATTTCACGCTACATTACAAAAATAGATACCTAGATCAACATTTAATATTAATGCTATGCTATTATTTATTATTGCTGCTTAGTTTAGCATCCAAACTTCTTACATCATGATGAAAAATTTACAATTCAAGATGTAAGAAATATATTTGATTATACCCATTGTCAATAAACATAGAAACTTTTCTTCGGCTTTCTGTTAGAAATACATTCATATAGTCCACGTATTGCAGTCCTCTTTTATTTATTTATTTATTTATTTTTTTTATTTTATTTTGTTATTTTTTTTTTTAAACTAAGCCAAGGTTTTCTATCAAGCAAGGTTGAAATTTGCACCTTAATACAGATTTCTAATGAGGAAAAAATCTGTGTATAATAACAAATCCGTTTGTTTTCATGATGGCTAAATATTAACATCTGATTTCCATCAAGCGGATCACCACAAACGTCATCAATGCTGAAATCTGGTTTCTATCTAACAGTTATGAAAAGAAATGAGATTTTTTAACCCCCAGTAAAACCCATCTTCATGTATAGGTATAAGAATCATATGTGCAAAAAATTCTCCTCCAAATCTAGCGAGAGTCGCTCACACAGACTTTTACCATCCAATCTCTCTCTCTCTCTCTCTCTCTCTCTCTCTCTAGTGTGGAATTAAAGCTTTTGCAATTCAAGCAATTCAATTTGCACTGAAGATTTTTAAGACACTTACTTTTAAGGAAAAAACAGAAGATTTTGTTTTTCAAAATCTCTCTCTCTCTCTCTCTCTCTCTCTCTCTCTCTCTCTCTCTCTCCATTTTGTCTTGCTATAAAACTTGCAGTAAGTTTTAAATTTTTGAGCTTTAAAACCTTAACTTTATGATTTTTTGGCGATCACGTGAGCAGCATGAAAAATATAAAAGTTAATTACTCCAGGCAACACAATTAGCCTCATTCCCAGTTCTAACTTAACTCTGATTTCTCCGACTTTATTAAGTTTTCATGAAATGTTTTTCAATGCAGCTCTTTGGGGTATAATTGATTTTCTTAATGGATCTAAAGTTGGTCATAAAAATAAATTAGGTATTAATTTTGCCAAAAAAAAAAAAAAAAAAAAAAAAAAAAAAAAAAAAACATAGAAAAAAGTATTTCCTGCAATATACAAATTAAAGGATTGAACGAGAAAAAGGAAATATAATAGTTATCTGCAAATATATTGACCTGCCGGATATTAAATGAAAAAAACTTTTAGTTTTAATAAGTAGTGAGTGTATAATTCAGCTACACATCTTCCTGTGTTATCTATCAACACCTGAAATGCTTCAAAAATGCATTCTATGTACAACGGCTGCATACACAGGTACGTCACCAGATTTCTTGAAAGGAGGATGCTAGGGAGGGTCTGGGTGGGGTACCCATCGACTAGGCTAGACAATTTGTATTAAATGGATACTACTTTGGTTGATTATGGTGCATTCTGGAAATCTATTACCAAATATTACATAAATTCTAGCAGCATTACTAGATATTACTTTAATTA